CTTCCTTCCTTTTTTCAACTTTACCTTCTTTACCTCATACCTTTGAATCCTGTTATTTCCCTGCTATTTTCTCATTTCCTTTGTCCTTTTTACTTACCGTTTTCCTGGGTAAAGGCCTTACTTCCTTTCCTATCAACTTTTCTTTTGCCTTTCTTCTGATTTTTTTTCTTAGTTGTTTTTCTTTTCTGCTTCTTTTTTATTTAGTGTCCTCAGGGAATGAATGAGTAATTGTGAATTGTTGTCTATGCTTTGTGCCTGTTGCCATGTGAACTTCCTTCCTTGTTTGCTACCAGTGATAGAAATAAGCCATTAAGTAATAGTGAACTTTGTATTTAAAATTCAGAAATGAAATAACAGGGAAACTGCAGTCAGGACTAGCATGAACTAATGTAGTCAAAATGTGAGTGTTATAAACTGCTGATCTTAGTTCCATGGATATTTGCAAAAAGATTCCCTGGAATATTTAGAGTACGGTTTACAAGCAGTGTTTTGCCATCCTTTTGCTCCTGTTATTAAAAAGTCCAGATGGTGGTGCTAAACCCCTGTGTTGCACACACAGGAGAGCCCCCATGCACCGGTGCCCACCTGATGGACAGGAAAAGCATTACCTCATCCCTTCCTTTCATTCCTTCAGGTAAAAATAGATAGATTAAGCCTGGGCTTTGATGAGCCAAACCTGCAGAGGTGGTGTTGCAGCAGGGAGAGAGGGATGGCAGTGAAGGAGAGAGACTAAATGGATCGTTCTGCTCCAAATCCAATTCCTAATAGCTGGAGGGAGGGAGGAGGAAGAAAAAAACAGTCAAAGAAAGAGGAGAAGCAGACAGGAGATATCACGTCTAACAATTAAGACCTGCCTTCAGGGGGTGAAGAAGGAGCTTTGAGGGAAATGTAGAACTTGCGTAGTGATCCTCATAAAAATCAGGTTGAGGGAATCATGAGGGCTGGAATCTGGTCACAGTATTTAGAGAACCTCCTCCACTTTTCACTTTGTCAAAGAAAATTCCCCCTCCTTACATCTCAGTCCAACCTGTATCGAATCCCAGTCAGTGGACTGTAGGAAACATCAAAGCTAATCAACTGGAGGCATCTACACTGCAGGGCGAAAGATTTGACTCGCTGATCAGTGACTGTATGACTTCTGCTCAGTTTACAAAAGCTCTTCTGTTTACAGATTTACTAAAACGGAAAACAGAACACCTAATTATATCTTACAAGAATTTTAATAAAGACTAATTGGACATCATTGATTATAATAATTCATTTGGATCTGGATCCAGGAATCTTATTCAACCTTTCAGGAATTATTTTGCTTATGTTTACTTCAATTAAGTAAAAGTGGATTTTGGATGTTTTAACTAGTGCTTTTAATTAATATGTTTTCATATATACATGGATGATTATTTAGTCCAGCCAAGTCTGTTAAATTTAATAGGATGTTGAAGAAAAGCAGCAGGACAACAGGCCTTAACACACAACTAGGGCTAAAACAGAAGACTTGAGTTAAAGCTGAATACACTTGATTTTAAATGTGAATGTAGAGTAAAATTGGTTTCTACTGAGCTGATTTGAAAATAGGAACAGGAAAAAGTTTCAGGCTGTGGAAAATCTCTTGGAAACTAAAAGATCTGCAGCTGTGATTACAGCAGGAGGATTGATTTATGGGATGAAATCAAATCCACTCCACACTTCAGATTTTTTTAAATAAAAAAACGATACAGTGAATACCCACTGCATTGAAGTTTTTGAATGCAATAAGATGCATATAAATCTATGTCTGAGGATTATTTCCTGGAATTCTGTGATTGTATATATTTGATTTAACTCTACATTAGTTTTGATTTGTGAACCAAACCTATTTGCTAGATCTAATGTATTCTCATATGAAAGTCTAAGTCAGGAGCTGAATAAAATCCTCTTCAGCTGTCAAATCATGTCTTTTAACTCTCTATTCCACCAGCAACTGCAGCTATGCTTTGGCTTTGATTTGTTCGTCATCTTCCTGTACAGTTGGCGTTATCTAAATATTTCTGCTTCTCGGCGGATTTAAGCTGTGACCTGATTCTGTTTAACTATTCACTGTTAAAGAAAAACATATTGGGGGTGGAGTGTGTGAGTGTGCATGCTTGTGTGTTTGGGCGGGTAGTGATTGATGACACATAAGAGTGAAAATGTCAGCTTTAGTTTTATTTCTGCTTTCTTTGTTGCTGCTGAATTCCAGTGTTGCCTGTTAACTTGTCACAAACTTTGAGAGAGGAAAAATAACCAGAATGCAAATGGTTGGTCTGAACTTTTAGAGCTCATCTGGGGTGCATCAGAAACTGGCTATCAAATTTTGGGTACGTTTCTGAGCTGTTTTAAAGGTGATAGCTTCAAGTTTAAGTCCTAGCAGCCTGTAAGTGGTGCAATTTACAGCAGCAGCCATTCAAAATGTCCCTTCCCAGTCAAACGCCAGCTGAATGGCAGCCTACGACCCTGTAACTCACAGCAAAATCCCCTCCAACTTCCTGCCACTGGAGTGACACCCTTCCTTCTCCTGGACGTGCATATTTTTTTACTCTGACTCCACCCTTTTACTGAATTACAGTGTCTGTCCAGGAGATGGCGCTTCTCTTTAGATCCTAATGTCCTCAAATCATAACAGAAAGAATATTTTAGTGCAAAGATTGATGTATAAAAAGGAATTGTAGGGGACCAGCCAAGGGTTCATCAAGAAAAGTGGGGAAATTTTGAATGGCTACTACTGTAGAAGAAAAGGGGCAATCCCAGTGTGTAATCTTTGCTTCCAGCCAACGCTCAAGGCTTGACTGATGCTCGGCCTCGTTTTTCTTCATTCTGAAGAATATATATATATATATATATATATATATATATATATATATATATGTGTGTGTGTGTGTGTAAAAGGACTGAGGCAATCGGATTAATCATGATTAATCGATTATTGAAATAAACTCAAACTCAGGGCAAACCTAAAAAATATAAACGTTTTGCATTTTCGATAAAAACAAAAATGTTTTCATCTGTCAATATGCTATATCCAGAGTGGATATAAAGTGGAAAAACTTTATTTTCACCTGGTTTAATTTAATAAAAAAGGTCTTTTTTAAGGAACCTTTTGCTATTGGATTATTAATCAATTCATCGAAAAAATTATCGGCAGATGAATTGATTTGCAAAATAATCGTTAGTTGCAGCCCTAACACCTTTTTTTTCTGCACCACTTTAGACATTCCATTGATATATTATTTCTGGAAAAAAAATAAATCTTTTTGATTTAAAAAGTTGTAGCCACGACCTTTAAGCATGCGATCGTTTTGAGTTTGTATGGGTTCAGTATTAAATACCTAGGTGCTCTGCAAAGATCTCATTAATCAGCGTAAATGAATAAATGTATGCATGCGCCAGGCTAACTGTGAAAAACGATTACCCATTAAGAAACATAACACCTCCACATTTTGCATAACTATTTAAAGTGACAAGTTATTTCACCTCTCAATGTTGCAGCCCTGGTTGTAACACTGCCCACTCTTCCTCCTTTAGGTCAGCCCTCCATCTGTACCTTGTGATGCAGAACTGCTATTCTTATTTCTCAAACAGGATGTTTGATGTAAACATCCTACAGGGTCATTTATTAAATCTTGGTCTTTAATACCTGCTTGGTAGGTAAATCTAATCTGCCCTTTGATGGGACTAATCTGCTAAGCATAAGCTTCAAATAGTAAAAAGAAAATACCAAGGATTGGACATCTTGGATCCGTTATCAAATAATGCGTTTATTTTCTCTGTAGGCTGATGTACATAATTGAACTCCAAGCTCTGCACATCTGTTGCTTTTCCTTACTTCACTTTTATCATACAGAAAATTAACATATTTAGATTTTTTTTTTTCTACAAATGTTTATTGCCTTTTATTTTCACAGGTGTGGTTTTGATCTTTAGCCATACATTTATGGAAATTAGAATTAGCATTGTGTTTTTCTTTACAGATTTTTCTCAAAGTTTATAATTTCTCTTTCAAAAAGCCTATATTAAATCAAAAATATTTGCAACTTTTCCCATTAGTTTAACTTGAGTTTAATTACAAAATGAATTAATTGTTCACAGTTCCCTTGGAACATATTCTAATGTATCACTCATATTTTTTTCTTAAATTAATTTGTGAAAATATGGATATCATCCAGTCAGCTGATTGATTATGTCAAAATGACCCATTTGTAAACTGACTTACAGCTGTCTCAGGCTGTCTTGTTTTATTGGCTCATATAAACTGTAGTTTACCATGGCTGAAAATCAAATGCTGTTGCTCCTATTTCTTCTTTTAAAAATAATTGAGGTTATTTTGAAAACTGCACTGACAGAATTGCCATTCTGTCAGTGCAGATGGGATGCAAAATATGTCTGCTGGTTTAATAGTAAAATAAGAAAAGTAGTATAAAAGTTGATAAAGTGAGCACTAGATTACATCATAAGCCCTTAAACCAACTATATTGATTGATAACAGAATCTCCAGCTGTGAAAAGGCTAAATATGAAAAAATATCCAATTTATCTTGGGAGGAGGAATTTTTGCAACAAAGAGGAGGAGATACAGTACAGGGATTCTCTATCATGGAGCCCAACCAAACGAGCACCCATTGAAAGCATCTGGGAGTGCTGATTAAAGTAGGGAATGACTCCAAAACTAAAGTAGGCTACTGGCAGGTCTTAGGTTAAAGATGTAACTTCGGAGACAGTGAACAGCAGCATTCTTCTGATATGCACATATATATGTCAGCACATTATGAGCAGAAACGTCACTTATTTGAAATATCAGCTTTT